TCTTAACTGAAGACTGTTGACTTTCCTCAGTTCTTAAAATAATCAGCTATTCTCTCAGAGAGTATTTTCTTTCTCTTATTCTAGATATCATCTCCCTCTGGAACTCTGACTAGATCTAATTTAGGATTTCCCACTTTAATCTCAATTTCATTTCACTTTTTTTTTTTTGCTTCAAATCTCAATCCAGCATTTTCCGTAATTTCTTTTGATCTCTAATTTCTTCAAATCTATTTCCCTGTTTACTAATTATCTTTTCAGTTGGGTGTAATCTTGTGTTTATTCTTTCCACTGCCTGTCTAATGTCAATTATTACATATTATATTCTCAGATTCTATTTGGTCCTTCTTTGAAATCTTTTGAGTAGTCTTAAAAGTTTGTTATGGTTTTATCAAGTTTTTAAAACATTATTTTATTTTTTTACATATATTTATTTCATATTCTACATTATGATGATTCTGATATCTATTTGTGTGGTTCTAATTGTATTACCTGTTCTTTCTGATGATCTTCTCTTTCTGCATATAGTTAGAGATTCTTTTCTTTTTTTTTTTGCTTTTTCTCCCCAAATCCCCCCGGTACACAGTTGTATGTTTTAGTTGTAGATCCTTCCAGTTGCGGCATGTGGGACGCCATCTCAACACGGCCTGATGAGAGGTGCCATGTCTGTGCCCAGGATCTGAACCGGCGAAACCCTGGGCCACTGAAGCAGAGCGCGTCAACTTAACCACTCAGCCACGGGGCCGGCCCCTAGAGATTCTTGATTATGAGTTCATGGTCTTTGAAATTTTATCTGCGAGGAGTCTTTGTGTTAAAGTATGTTTTTCTGGAGAGGGTTTATTTGTTCACTCTGTAAAGCAACTGGGGGTGCCACCTATCACTTTTTTTTCACATTTCCTATTAGTGTCCCTAAAAAACTACAGCAACAGGTCATCCAGGGTGGGCAGAAATCTCTGGGGCAAATGTCAGATCTGGGACTGGCTAACTGCCCAGATTAAAGCTTTCTTGGCATTTCTACATCCCCTCCCAACTGTTTTACTTTCCAGCCAGCATGACCATGTGTAACATAGAAACATAAATTATTTTCCAGCAGTGTTTCTCTGACTGTGTAATCTATGATGTTGCTAGAGAAGAAAATCCTTATTTATTAAGTCAATAAAATATTGAATAAGCAGTTTATGGGTCACTCTAGACTATATTAAGATACAAATAAGAGCTTTCTAGTGATTAGGGCCTCTTGGTAACACCTTCTATCCAAGGCGATAGAGAACATCCGGCCAGTGGAAACTGAAGTAGGGAGTATATACCTATGTGCGTAGACTATGGTGTATCCTAAAGGACTTCTCTGCAGCAGAGCCAGTTACAAGAGACAGACTGAAAGGGATCACAGGTGGTTATATTATAAACAGGTTATTATGGATGGACTGCTTATGTCCCCCTAAATTCATATATTGAAGCCCTAACTCCCATCATGATGGTATCTGGAGGGGCCTTGGGAAGTGATCAGATCATGAGGGAGGGTCCTCATGACGGTATTAGTGCCCTTTTAACAGAGGAAGAGACACAAGATCCCTCCCTTTCTCCGCCATATAAGGACACAGAGAGAGCACGGCCATCTGCAAGGCAGGAAGAGGGTCCTCACCGGACCCCCACCAAGACAGCACTTTGATCTCTGACTTCCAGCCTCCAGAACTGTGAGGAAATGAATTTCTGTTGTTTCAGCCCTCCGGCCTGTGGTGTTTGTTACGGAAGCTCGAGCTGGCTGAGACCTAGGGGAAAGCTCACAAATATCCAACCAAAAACTTCTTACCCTCAATGGAGGGGAAGAAGACACCTTCCTGAAGAGACAGAAACAGACTTAGGGTCAGGAGTGCTCTCGCTGGCACTGCCCAGCTCCCTTCTGTTCCTGTGACCTTGGAGATTCCACTTCCCTTTCTGGTTCTCAGCTTCTCCATTCTTAAAATTGTTGAACGAAGTTGTTTCCATGGTCCCTTCCCTCTCCAATATTTCATGATATTAAGAGAAAAAATTTCTGCATAATAGACTTGTATTTAACAGTTACCCTACTTTGATTTATTATTTATCATAGAATCATTGAAAATTCCGTTCCAGAAGGGTAGTTAAAATCATATCAGTAAAGCGGTGCTCAGAAACATAGAGGTAAGGTTAAATGACTGGCCTCAGGCAGCAGAAAAAAATCAGACTCAGAGTGAAGGCAACACACCCCTGCCCCAATTGTGTCCTGCTTGGCCTGGGGCCACACCAGGCAGTGAGAAGACCTGTAAAAGCATCGAACAGCTTGTTACAGATAAGCAGGACAGCATGTGCTGTGGTTCCTAAGCCACGCTCATCTTCTATCTGCTATCACAGATGGAGATGAGGTGCTTGCTCTAGGTGTGTGCAACCTCAGCAAGGTAAGGGGATATAACAGCGCCTGATCTTTCAGGACCCATGCTCAGAAGTCAGCCAGGATGGGGTGTTTCCATGTCATTTTAAATGAGAGTTCAGTGTTTTCTAACCTGCAATATGAAAGAATCGGACAACTTAGATGAATTCTAAGGCTCACCTGTATTTTAATGCAAAGTTCACTCTGAGTTGCTACAAGATCTCAGGTTTAGTCATTGCTCAGGGTTGCCCAGTTCTTTAGGGGCAGAACCTGGCTTCCAGTCAAGGTCTGTTAATGTGAAATATCTAGAATATCTTTAATTATAGGACCGTATTGCTACATAGGTAAGGATCAATTGGAGTTTAAAATTGGCAACACACAATTAGGCCATAAGGATTATAGCCACTAGCTGCCCAATTCTAAATATTGTATTTCACTTACACTAAGTCACTGGTATTATGATTCTATTTTCTTCATCAGATCGCTGGGGAGCTTACGTTGAGTCACAGGACACCTGCAGACCTGCGAGTATTCCTATCAACATTTTAGTTCTGTTTGCTCTCAGATGATTATTGTCTCATTTTCACAGAACAGAAAAATAAGTACAGTAGAAAATAAACACGTAAGAAAAATGTCATAGATTTACAGTTAGTCTTACCTGGGATTCAAACCATATTTTAATCATCAGCTAAATGATCTAGAAAAATTACTTACCTTTTTATGAGATTACTCAACTATATAACAGGGATACTAATATGGATATTTTAAATTAACGTTAGTGTAAACGCCAAGCACAGTAGCAGACATGATCTGAGCCACTCACAAATTTTAGTTCCTATGTTACTTACTTTTGCTGCTAGAATTCTTCGTAACAAACAATCACAAAACCTAGTAGATTAACACAGCACACACTTGTTTAGCTTGGGAATCTGTGGCTTAGAGATGTAGGCTGGGCTCTGCTGGGAGTCTCTCCTGGTCTTGGCTGGGCTCAACCACACGTCTGGTAGTTGGCTGAGTGTTGGCTAATCTGGGATAGCCTCAGCGGGGACCACTGAAAAGCCTGACTCTGCCCACGTGTCTCATCTTCCGCTGGTGAGCTCAAGCTTGTTCCACTGGGGCAAGCATGTGGAAGGCAGAGGCCTCAGATCCAAAGTTAGAACGGGTGCACAGTCATGTCCACTGCTTTCTATTGGCCAATGCTAGTCATACGACCACCAAGACTTATGGGGTTGGGAAAAGGATCCACCTTTTTAATGAGAACCACAAAGATAAATAGTCCAGAGAATGGAAAAAGGGAGGGGTGATGGATTGAGGCCATTAATGCAATGAATCTACCTTCTCCTTTCTCTGGGCTTCCTGTGACTTAGCCTTGAAAACGCTGTTCCCATTAACCATCCAGATACGTCAACCATTTGATTTGTCCATTACATCAGCTTTCTACAAATATGCATGCACTTTAGGGAAAGTAATTGATTTAAAAATAACACTTTCAGAATTACAGATCTCCAATAATCTGTGTATGTTAGGAAAGCAGAGAAGAAAATGCAAGCCCCAGAATTGACAAAGGCTGTAAATTTCATACGCTTATTTATTTATTTACTATTTAAGACAATTCAGAGGTTTCCTTCAGTCTTTGATGCTCTGGTGATCTCTTCTGATGCTCCTTTATAAGCAAGATGTGTCACGACCACTAGGCATAGGGTAATGATGGCAACTACATAGTCTGGTCCAGCCAAGCTGCTTTGGGCTATCTTTGTCTCTTGGCTTGTCCCTCTTTGGCACCTTCCAGAGCCTAACAGCAACTACCCTTCCCCTCACTGGAGCAGAGTCTTCATAAGCGTTCCCTCATAGTAACTCTCTTTAAAAGTATATGACATGATTTTCTTGCCTTATTCGGCTCACAAATTCTCCCCCAATGTGTTTGCAAGTTGTACTCCAATTCTACTCCCGCTTCCTCCCCTTAATATGATCTCTGCATTTTATTTCCACTTGCCCCATTCTGCTCTGTACCCAGATATATTGCCTTCAGTACTTACTGTACGTAAGGGTTTGCACCTGCTATATCAGAGGATCTTCCTCTTCTTCCTGTCTCTACTCCCATGCTCACTTCTATTTGCCTGCAGGGTTTCAGTGTTCATTCCTACACTCAGTCTTTTCCTCATTCTTTCTTTCCTATTTGCCATCTTCTTACTTCATCTCTAGGACATTTGCCTTGGAGAACAGTAGAAAACAGAGACAAGGAGTCTGGGTGACCTTGAATGGCAGATATCGGACTCATAGTCTTTCTCTTTCTAGAGCTTCATGATTATCCTTAGATAGTAGAGGCTTTGTGAATCTTCAATCAACAAAGAAATAAGATCCATTCTTACTCCTGTACCATTGAAGAAATGATTTACTCTTTCCCTCCTTAATTATCATAATGATACTGTCATAACCTTAACTATCCCGATATCCCGACCATGGTTCATTCACAGTTGAACATTTGGCTCCATCCTTCTACATTGGAGTAGCACCTAATTTAGTGATAGGAAAGTAAGGTTTTTTTTTTTTTTAACAACCTTATTGATATATAATTAATATATCATACAATTCAACCATTTACATTGTACAACTCAATTGTCTGTAGTATATTTATAGATATGTGCAACCATCACCAGTAAATTTTAAAAACTTTCCATCCCTTCAAAAAGAAACTTGGTATCCTTTAGTTATTACCTCTCTGTCCTCCCACCCACCCAACGCAGGCTAAAGAGCCACTATTTTATGTCTCCTTAGATTTCAAAGGAAATAAGCTTTAAAGACAACTTACAAGGAAGGAATATCCTTGAAATCCGCTTGAATTGTTTTTACAATATATTACAAATAGCCATATTTATATGCCAAGTTGGACAACAACATAGCTTTTCTCAATAAATCCAACATAGCCAGATTAGTCTCCAGGATTGGAAAAGACAGCTGTTTCTTCAAGTGGCCATTAAATGAACTAGTTGGCTGGTGTTTCGGGATCATGGTCTTACAAATAAATGATGTTGCACTGTGGAAACTCAACTTGGAAAGATACTCATTCTGAGAGTAGCAGTTTATGCTGGTGACAAAGCTATGAGATATGAGGTTTGCGACCTGTTAACATCCATCTTTCCAACCAAATGATGAAGCTACTCCAAGAAATCAGGCTCATCTGGAAAGAGAAGTAGGAATGAGAGATTCAGAAAAGGATCCTGGTGACACTGGAGTTCTAATCTCATTTGTCCCTGAGCCTGTACAGTATGTTGCTCTTCCCTCAGCTTGGTTTATGTGAGCCAATACATTTCCTCCACTTTCCTGGAGCTCAAGTTGGGTTTCTGAAACTTGTAACCCACCCAAAAGTCTTTACTAACACAACTACAATTTATATATTGTTAATACTTTTTTTTAAGCAGATGGAAAATGTCACATCATGGTATAAGGAGATTTTTCTCAAGGTCTAGAATTGGATGTCAAATTCAAGATCTCATCTTAAAGACAAACTCAATATTAGTTTTATTTCAATAGATTGCTTCACTCTAAAACAATTTCTCAATATTTTGTAGAGTGGGCTAAATATATATGTTATGTTTGGGATTTTAATCCAGAAAGGAAGGTACTAGAAACACACAAATGAATATGACCCAACTTTTGTCCTCAAAGAGCTCACAGTTAAGTAGTGACAATACACAAGAAAACAGATAATTTAAGAAGTAATATGACAAATGAAATGATATTTCACATAATTTGAAAATCTATAACTTACTGGCAGATAATATTTTGTCAAAATTTACTTTCTTTACCTTGAAATGAAAAACAAGAGATTTTTGTTTTGTCTTCTAAATAAGTAATTATATTCTAATTTTGAATATATTTTTACAAACTACATCTCTATCCCCCACACTTACTCTCTTACCGAGATTGTCTTGTTCTCCTAGGTCAATGTACTTCCTGTGCCTTTGGCAGCTGAGGGATCACTATGGTTCATGCACATTTGATAGCCGTGTGTTTAAATTCCGCTCCTCCCATTTACTAACAGAATAACATTGGACAAGTTATTTCCTCTTTGTATCTCTCTCTCTTTTTTTTTTTTTTTAAAATAAAGGATACTAAGATAATAATTCCTAGAACGTGGAATTGTTGAGAGGATTAGCTGTGATGCTGTATGGAATCCAAGGGTTAGCCTCTGGGGGTCCTAAATCTTCCAGGGTTTCAGAGTTACTCTCATCTTTAATAGTAAAATGATAGTGGCTTGGGAGCGTAACTCATGAATAGTGAAAATCAAGTAATTTATTCAGCGTTGTCTTATTTCTTCACCTTCTAGACTATGTTGTATGACTCCCTTTCCTTCCTCAAATAGGCCCTCTAGGTATTTTGGTGGTTGCAAGGGATCCTGTCAGCATGCCTCCTTCTCCCATCTCTGTATGTGAGTAGGAGGCTGGAGTATGGCACAATGTATTCACCCCCTCCCCAATATTGCATCTGAACCCCAGGCCCTGCCACATCTTCCCCCCACATACACAACACAGAGAAAAGATGCTCTCCTTCTTTGATGCCAGCTTTCTCCCTCTCCATCCCTTCTTTGGTAAATATCTGTAGGAGTCTCCTAGGGAAGACCCTCCACGTTCTTCCCTGGAGGGCCCAAGCAGTGCTTTACCTGGGAGCTTCAGAAACGTGTCAGCCTGTGTGCAAGTATTCACACAAGGCATTATTCCAACTCTGATCCTTGGATCATCGATTTCCGGTCTTCTCATTAAGATAGAAACCATCCTCACAGTGGAGTACACATTATGATTCTTTTTTTTTTTGAGGAAGATTAGCCCTGAGCCAATGTCTGCTGCCAATCTTCCTCTTTTTTTTGCCGAGGAAGACTGGCTCTGAGTCAACATCTGTGCCCATCTTCCTCTACTTTATATGTGGGACGCCTACCACAGCATGGCCTGACAAGCAGTGCTAGGTCTGCACCTGGGATCCGAACCGGGGACCCCAGGGCCGCCAAAGTGGAACATGCAAATTTAACCACTGCACCACAGGGCCGGCCTCCACGTTATGATTTTTTAAAAAAATGTAATTCCTTTTTTTCTGAAAAAATAGATTAGATAAGCATATAAAAATATAGTGGAATTCTGACCTCAGTTATCCCTCAGGTAAGGTGTTTGTCTTTTCAAGAAAAGCTGGAATGCTTTAATTGCCCAAAATATTGCAAATCCAATGTGCAGCAGGGGAAACGCATATTCTACGGTGTCAAAGCATCGTGAGAACAATCAGCTGACATATGTTCTATCAAGGAACTGGAATGGGGAGTAAGAGAACAGAATTAACATAATTTTTAATTTATAAACTTGCAAAAGAAAGCCTCATAAACAAAAATGGAGATAACTCTAAAACCATCCCAACCTTTGACTGAGGGAGCTTATGAGGAGGAAACGTGAGGGGTGCAGCCTCCAGAGAACGGCTCATATTTAGGCCAGGGGATTACAAAGATCAGAAAGTGCCTTTTCCTTAGAGAGGGAGCTGGTCTTAGACCTAAACTATAGGAGCAAGTCTGGTGTCAATCTAATTTAAGCACCATAGGCTGTTTTATCATGACACCTGAATAGAAAGAGATGTTTTGTAGAAAGGGCCTCCTACAGCATGATTCTACGTTCTTACATTTCTTTTCTCTTTCCACATGTGTGCCGACCATAGGGTGTTTCATTCACAAAATTCATAGTCCAGTGAAGGGTGACAGACTGGAAAATCAAGTTTGTATATGGCATAAATAGTACTGAAATCATTCTAGATTATTGAAAATCCACCCAGTGTGACGGTAGAGAAGAGAAAATCCTTTCAGGGAGGTAATGATATCTGAGCTGAGCATTGAAAATGTGAAGGAGTTAGGGGGAATAGAGGCTCGTGGAAGTTGTCCAGAAAGGGAGAGGGCATTTGTAAAGTGTCGTTAGTGAAAAAGCACATAACAAGGATCCTGTGTTTCCATTGCCACTGCAAAGAAAGCACCTGAGTAGAGGATGAGACCTGAGGAGGTGATGAGACCTGAGGAGGTGATGAGACCTGAGATGGCAGAAGTAGGCAGGGACTATGTCATGCAGACTGCTAATTTCACACATCTCGATTCAGGTTCTGTGGTTATCAGCAGGAGAAACCAAGTTTTGATAATTTATAGAAAAATCAAGTTTTTGAAGGGTATGTGTGTGGTCAACTAAAGAACTGAATGGACAAGTGAACAACCGAGAAGCGTGTGATTCCAGGAATCCAGAAGGAAGGAATCCACAAACTGCCATTTCTGTTCAAGTATCTGGCTGAGAAGTTCTGCCTGGCTCGTTTGGGTCTCACACCCATGTCTGAACCGAGCACTGTGGGTATTTGGGAAACCTTGATCCTCACTGCAAGGAAGAGCAGTGATGTCCAAGTCGGGGGGAGGGGGACGCTGCTCTCAGAGGATCACAAGTTGGCACACTGGGGTCTGGAGGAAACACTGAAATGGCTAATTACATTTATTTATTTCAAAATAAGGAAGACATGACACCTTACAGATAGTTACTGTATGTCTTGAGTTGGCCTCCTCACTCTCCACATGTCAGGTGACCACATATCATGGGCCACGTAGGAGGGAGGAGTGAAGACTCCTTTCATATGCGAGGGATTAGAGCAGCTCTCTCACTCCTGTGTTCCACCTCAGCAGATTCAGGTTTATCGACTCAATTTACTTGTTTATGGATTTACAGATTACATTGTCCAATTTCATCTGAACATTCTCGCAAAAAGGAGAATTATTGTAGAAGATTACTGCAGAGAAATAGCAGATTTAGGATTATAGGAAAATGCAAGCACATGTGAACAGCAAGAAAATGGCAGAGCTAAGGGCTTCGCTCCCATTGCAAGCTCTTTATGAGCCACGTTACGTGGGAAACCAATGCCTTCCAGATATATGGCGCCCTGCAGACACCCTGGGGAGAGCAGGTCTACCTTCTTCCTCCACATGAAGATGACATGTTAATGTTGAGTGCAGAAGTAACTGGCTTCTTTATTTTGAAAAAAATCATTACTATTTCTTAAGAACATTATATAAACAGGTGTTAGATATATTTCCATCATTATGTGATTTCATTGCCAAAAATAACACAAGTAATTCACCTGTGTAAGCAAGAAAAGAAAAAAAACCCTCCTTCAAGTATTTAAAAAATCTTGGAAGCATAATTTCTAATTTCTTAATAAAAAATTTAAATAAAGACTTTCAGTGGGATTATAACCCATCTGTTAATAATAAAAAAAAGTGCAATACCTTCCAATTAGTTTGGAGAACAACTGATTGACATTATAAAAGATGGAAAATTGAGGGACAAATTTTAACACAAATTGTTACTTAATTGGCGTATGGGATTTAATCCTGAGCATCGTCATTCAGTGAGCACAAAAATGAATTCCTCCTGGATATCACAGTGAGGCGTCTTTTTCAGCTGTGATAGTCATTAAAAAGCAGAGAAATAAACTGATCTTAGATCCACACAAATTATTATAACACAAAGCACCGAACCAAGTTTTCAAATTTAATAGACAATATTTAGTCACATTTCTCACATGAAAAAGTTGTACTATTAAGTGATCATTTTAGGTTATTGCTTATTTTATCTTTATCTCAGTTTTTTAATTTCTATTTTGTGTATTTTTTTTAGTATATATGTGGCTATTAGTAAATTAATACTAAAAATGAATGGAATATATATATATTTTTTTATCAATGCTTAAAAATATTTCATAGGAAGAGATCTGGGAAAAAACAGACCTGTAGACCCTTATCTAGAGAATGGTTTACCAGGTGTCAGCAAGTAACAGTCATAGCTCCAATCCCGGCACAGCAAGGTAAACATTGTTTGTGGCTGCTTTCAAAGGCATAATTGAGTAGCTGAGACATGGACCTTATGTCTTGCAAAGTCAAAATCACTTATGATCTGGATCTTTACATGAAGGTCTCTACCCTCTTGTTTAAATAATTGGCAATAAACATAGTCAGTCTATTTTTGTTTTCTGATGTACCTGTATAACGGTCTTGGGGAAAATAAATAGTTTGATTTCTAGAGTAACAGTTCATGGGCATGCCTCTATGTTTTTGAGGGGCAGGTGTCTGACAGACAAAAGGCAATTTGGGGATTTTTCTCTTAGAATTTCCTTTCCCCCCCAGACTGTCAACACAACAAAGTATTCCTTTAAGAGATTGTATATGGCTGCCCTTTATTAGACAGGGTTAACATTTCTGATGTTTACTTGAACAGGGTTTGTGCATTTAACTATTTTTTGAAAAGATTAATTTTCACTGAGTATACAAATCTACTTCAAACACTACAAAATCCAAACCTCTCCAGGGGGCTGACCACTGGTGGTGAGCTGATCCCCTCGGTTATTTAAACAGCAGCACCGCTGCCCAGAAATAAAGGATGTCCATGAGGAACAGGAATCTTAAAGTACTACCTGCAGAATGAAAAAGCTCATGGACCTTTGGAAGCATCGAATTAATGGGTGATTATATTTATTTGGAGATTTTTAGGTAGATGGGTGTTGATTTTCTTGTGGAACCTTTACAAATCTCAAGAAAAATGGATTCAGGAAAATTCCTGCTAATCCAGTTCAAATTGTGTAAGTAAATTTCTGACTCCTGTACACTTCATATCCACCCTTCCCCCATCAGATAAGTTGTGTCCCCCTCGGGTCAGTTAGTTCCTTGTTTCCTCAAACTTGACTCAGGTGAGAGACAACAGTCAAGGGACTCCTGTCTTTCTGGGCTGAAATTCAGCCACCTGGACTCAGTCCATTCATTTGTGTGTCCATTGATCTGACATTCACACATCTAGCCTATTCCCAAGGAAGAAATAATCACTTTTTCATTTATTGTGACATTACTAGATATCTCAATATGTTAAGAGCGAATGCTAATGTCGTTGTTTTGTTTTCCATTAATCAGCTTCCATTTCATAAACAAACTTTTTTCTAAATAAGCCCAGAAGATTATATTTTAGTTTTAAATTGGAAATTTGAAAAGGAAGAAAGAGAAAACCAGAATTGTTTGTGTCTGTACTCTGCACCTGGCATCATGTTCTTTAAATGAATATGCATTTGACATTCATAATCTCTTTAGCCCATACATTGCGTCCTGAAGAAGGTATCACTCTCTTAACTTTACTCATGTGGGAACTGAGACCTGGAGAGGCAAAGGGTTTATCTGACATCCACCAACTAAAAATGACAGACTTGGGATTCATACCTAACCTGTGTCTTTCCAAAACCCATTCTCTTAACTAGCTTCCTTTCTATGTTCAAACTTGTGTTTCCAACACATTCAGTTTTCAGTTTTAAATTTCATCTCATTTCCAGTCAATTTGCAGATTTATGTTTCCCAAATATTTCAGCTAGGGGTTTTCCAGGAACTACCATCTCATTTGCTCCTCATTTCTTTCTCCCTTCCACTCCCCTCTTCCTCCTCTCAATTCCTTCATTAATTCAAGTTTTTCGGTGTGTCTACACTGTATCTAAGGATTCGCTCACTTCCCATACCCTTTGTGTGTGAATTCTTATACCTCCATGGACTTCATTAACTCCCATTCCCAGCTGCTGTTACATCATCCCCTTGGGATCTGGGATCAAATCTCTCTTAGTGAAAAGGGGCTTAAGATCTGCCAGAGCTATAAACCCCACATTTGGCTCTCTTGCTGAGCCTGCTTTGGACCAATTGCTCATGTCTGGAAAAGGATCTCTGGCCCACATCCTGATAACTGTCTTGTTTTCCTGAGACTCTTCAAGCCTGTGGTTTCTGCAGTGGGCTATAGGATCCTCAACCTCCTGGCAGCCTTCCCTGATGCTCACAGCTTGCCTCTCCCACTGTAGCTTGGATCTTACCACCTGCCTTTTATTTTAACTGCCTCATGGTAGGGTCCATCCCCTTGTGGGACAACCACGATTCTGAACAAGTGTTGATGTTGTATCACACTCTCTGCATAATGTTCCTCATTCTAGAGGTGGATTTGGTTACATCTGCTATAGCTGAGTTCAATGCACACTCATCAACTCACACCACTCCCGGCAACAAGAAGGCTTGGCCCGCTGCAAGGGTGATTCATGTCTAATTCCAAATGCCAGCCTCTAAATTAAAATGGTTTTGCTGCAGTTGACCTACACCTGCCTGGCTTTGTCCAAGACTCAACATTGCAGGAACACATAAAACACACAAAATTGTGAGACATGGTTCTTCATCTCGATAGCCATTTAGTCGAATTTGGGAAGTTTCATCAATTGAACTGTGTCCCCCTTTAAATTCACATGTTAAAGTCCTGGCCCTCATACCTCAGATTGTGACCTCATTTGGAAATAAGATCATTACAGATGTAATTAGTTAAGTTAAGGTGATGTCATCAGGATGGGCCCTAATCCAAAGGATTGTGTCCTAATAAAAAGGGGAAATTTGGACAGAGACACTCACAGGGAGAATGTCATATAAATGTGGAAGCGGGGATTGGGGTGATGTTTCTACAAGCCAAGGAACGCCAAAGATTTCCAGTAAATCTCCAGCAGCTAGGAGAGAGGCCTGGAACAGATTCTCCCTCACAGCCCTCAGAGGAATTCAACTCTGCTGACACCTTGATCTTGGACTTTGAGTCTCCAGAACTATGAAAGCATGAATTCCAGTTGTTCTAAGATACGCGGTACGTGGTGTTTTGTTCCATCAGCCCTAGCAAAACAATAAAGGAAGTAAGATGTCATTCACGATTCAGGTGAAGAATCGTGGGACCCAGTGAGTAAATTGGGCAGTGTAGTCAGTTTCAAAGACGGATCTAGATTGAAATATAGAGCATCCAATTAATAGCTACTTGCTTTTCAGTAAGCTATCCTTTCTCAACTTCAATATTTTCAGCCGCAAAATGTTAGTATGTAGGACCTTTCTCAAGGGTTGTTGTGAAAGGGGAGCAGGCAACACACATGGAAGTATTTATTACCCACAAAATTGAAGTTTTTAAATGTCGAGCAAAGTAGTAGAGAAATTAAATGCCTTAGGAGGTCAGAGAAAGCAGGAATCTCTGTATGATCAAACTGCTCTTTTGAAAATTTCTATTGGTATTAAAACAAAATTTGTAATAGTGCGGAGTTTTAAATTTTTTAAAAGGAAAATATCTTAATAAAGTAACACAGGGCCGGCCCGGTGGCGCAGTGGTTAAGTTCGCATGTTCCGCTTCTCAGTGGCCTGGGGTTCGCTGGTTCGGATCCCGGGTGCGGACATGGCACCGCTTGGCATGCCATGCTGTGGTAGGTGTCCCACATATAAAGTAGAGGAAGATGGGCACGATGTTAGCTCAGGGCCAGGTTTCCTCAGGAAAAAAAAGGAGGAGGACTGGCAGTAGTTAGCTCAGGGCTAATCTTCCTCAAAAAAAAAAAAAAACCATTAATAAAGTAACACATACCTGTGAAGTTCTTCTGATTTTCTAAATTATCATTTAGTTTTGGTAAGGATGTCACAATTATTTTCTTTCAAATATCTGCTCGTCAACCACATTAATCACAAGCAGCGTTCTGTTGAGTCCTCTGTGATTTGGAGGAGATAAGTTAGAAGCAGTAGTATGAGCTACTTGTATGCTAAAAAAAGTTGAATCCAAATTATGCAAATGATTTTGGCCCAGAGCTATTTTTTGATATTTTAAACTTTTTGTTCCCAAGGTTGCCTAGAAAATTCAACCAAGAGTTATGAACTCTTGGCAAATCTTGTCTTTGCTCTGCCTCTCTGTCTCATTCACAAGCCGTTAGAAGCCAGCCCCTCCTCACCCTGGGCCCTGCCCCTCTCTCTAGCCCAAGGCCAAACATGTTCTCCATTGTCTCCTGGTCAGCCTGGGTTGACTAGATATGACAGACTGGCTAATGCCTCTGTCTTTCACAGTATTTTTCCCCTAGGTCTGGAGTCTGTCCCTCTGCATCTTGTCTGCCTCCTAAGCTCCCACTTACTCTTCAAAGCTGTCTGTTGTCACACCCCCATGAAACTTTTCTTCTTTCATTCTTTCTCCTATATTTACTTTTCCACTCTATTATATTCTTATAATGGTCTCACTTTCCAGACTGAGCCTGCACTGAATCTAGAGCAGTGCCCCCTGTCAGACTGCACGACTTGAGGCTTGGGGCCGCAGGGTCCTCCCTGAGTCTCCAGGTTCCAGAACAATGTCTGGCACTTTGGTAGATACTAAAACCTATCTTCAGAATAAAGGAAAGAAGAGCAGAAACTCTATTAACCAGAATATTTGAAAACCTGCTAGTTTCTTGCAAAAAGAGCTGACACTTTTATCAGCTTACTGTGGGCCAGGTGCTGCTCCAGCTGCTTGAGGGATATGAACACCTCATGTTCACAATCATCATATGAGGGAGGTAGTATTTCTAGCATCTTCAGTTCACAGGCAGGGAAACTTGAGACACAGAGAGGTCAAAGACTTTGCTCAAAGTCACTCATCCAGAAAGTGGGAGGGGCAGGATTTAAACCAGAGGCTCTGTATCCAGCATTTGCGAGCTTAACCACTGTGGCATGTAGCCCCTTAGGGCTAGGGATCTGACGCAAGAAATAAGGCATACCTTAATGAGAACTAAACTAGCAAGGAACATAGATTCAGCACTCTCTCCTTCTCTTGTCCCACAGCATCTTCCACCTCAACTCTTCTGCCTCCTTGGTGTGCCCCAGTCCCCAGTCCTCCCAGTAGTGGACCCAACTCCACTCCTCTGGGAAGCCTTCTGGGGTTGCACCTCTTAGTGGGAAGATGTCTTTCCTCAATGCCCACAGCCCCTTCCTGCCGCTCCTCCTTCACCTTTCACCTGGTATCACAGTGCTTGTTTAAATGGACCATTTCTTCCAGAGACTAGTTAATCCCCTGAGAGCAGAGCCTGTCTGACACAAGTTTGATTAGTATAAACTGTGGAGAGCATTTTGCCTCGCCCCTGGTAGGTGTTTGGCAAATATTTATTGAAAAGATGAGTGAATGATCACATTGTAACAAGAAGTCATTTAAAATACTTTAGGGTAAAAACAATTGCTGTGATTTAGTGTGTTTAACAAATAAACATGGTGAAAAGCCATTATAACACGGACTAATAAAACGCAGGTTAGCTTCTGTACGAGAGGGCAAATTATGTTCCGCAGACAGTAACCACATCGAACAAATCCACAAGGCAATGGGCTAAGTCTAACGCCGCTTCCGAATACCAGAACCATAAAGGTCACGCTGCATATTTGAGATGAATCCAATCAATTATACTGTCAAACAGGCCATAAGGCAAAAAAATTTACTATTCACTTTGAAATTTCCACCCATAAATAAAGCACATGGCTCTAGCCTTATTGTTGAGCTGCGTGATTTACTGGTGTGTGTGTGTAGGTTTTTAAAAATGAGGAAAGTATATGTGTGTGCGCCCTATATGTATGCATGAATTATGTATGTATGTATAAAAGAGGATTTAAAAGATACTGCCAGTGCGATGCAAAGAAACCCCCAACTCTAGAACTCTCTCAATATCTAAGCTCACCTTTCCGATCCTCTTTTTAAGAAGGACGCTGTGGCATCCTGGCTCTTCTCTGTGCACGCTGAGTCAGATGACCCGTTTGTTTTCGCAGATGCTCAGAAGAACAGCACCGCCACGTAAATGCGTCCGTCTTCAACTTCTCTCCTTTTGCAGAGAATGTGAGAAAACATAGATTGTATCTGTGTTTTTGTCAATTACTTTTTTCTTCTCACATAATGTGATACACCACCAGACCTCAGGTCCTAAACCTTAAGGGAAGGTGTAGTTATCTGGGATCCATGTGTGTTTCTTCTAATGAAGAAAACGTTTTCCCCTGATCTGTGCTGGTGCCGTCATCTGACTACCGTTCTCGCAGGCTCTGTGGTCCTTTGCCAGGAGATTACTGATATCAAAAACCAGATTTTTTTTAAAGTTTATTGGGCAACTCTAAGCACAAGCAGAGAACTCCTTTTTAGACTTCAGTCAGAGGATATCTGTACTCCAAACATTAAAAATATTCATTTGTGCAAGGGTTTCTCCCTGTGACTGGAAACATGATACCAAGTGAAAGTCAGCAGTGAGGTCTGGTGAGGCCCAGGCCAGGGACTGAGGCTCTGGCTATTGTGCTCATTGCCAAGTGCTCTGTAGACACTTAAAAATGTCCTGGAGTGGTTGAAACCATGTTATTTACCTGACATTTGGAAAGCATAATTAAAATTAAAAATAACAAATATAAACCCCAAGTGAAAGGTTTGGAAGAGGTATTTATTTATTCAAAAATCTTTGATTGACTATAGTGCTAGCCCTTTACTCGTGGCAGGATACCTCGAGTAATTTCACATTTGCAAGCAAAGACGCAGACTGTGTAACATCCTGCTGTGACATCCATGGACATGGAGTCAGCTCTTCTCAACAAATTTCTTTCCTCTCTCTGGGGCTCCCATGGGTCCTGTCTTGCTACAGCACACCCCGCTCCTTACCATGCTCTTGTTTTCTCTCTGAAAATCTGATCAGCACTGAATGTTATCAGCCATTGGTCCTGAGGTGTGAAAGTCAGTCATTTTGGCACTTTTCTTGCGAATGTATTATTCTAGTTATGCATCTTCTTCTCATTGGAGCAATGCCAGCCCTGGGCAAGAGGACCACAGACTAGGGAAGAGAAGCCATTATTTTATTGGCTAAGTTTACCTGGTGGCTGAGATACAGAGGAAGATCACAACCAGAATCAGTCAACTGTTTACTCATTTTAATGGCTGGGGAGGTGGCTACGGAAAGACCATCCCACGTCTGCCTCCCTCTCTTGTGAAGTAGCCAGAGGTCATCTGCAACGACAGGTCATCTGCGCGATGAGGCCGTAGCTTGCGGGGACCAGGTGACTTTGGAACCTCAACCGCACATAAGAGAGAGAAAGTGAGGAGAGACGGCTGAGCTCAGGAAAGGAACGGAGGGCGGACTGTGCAAGCAGCTGAGCTCAAGGGATGGTGCCTTTGTAGAGAAATCAGAAGTCTCTGACCAGGAATTTGCCACCAAAGCAAAAAATAAACAAACTCACATCCAGAGTGAGTGGATCTGCTTTTCTCATAATGATGACTTCAGACATAATGACATTCCTTCCAAATCATCTATCCTGTGGAAAATTGGATGCAGATAGCTGAACTGATACGGGCCCCTTGAATAACTAGGCTGTGAGTCTCTAGTCTGAGAGCTTTGCCATTCTCCATACATCGTGCGTGGTAAAGCTGAGTGCAAGCTTTTCTCCCTGGGATTCTTTCACATGCTTTATATTTTATAGTCATCCATTTATTCAACAAACAGATAATTTACAATTATTACTAATGCATTAATAAGGGGCTCAGGAATTCTTCTTCGGGTGCTAAATTCCTTTGTACATTCCATTTTATAAGAATTTCTCCCTTTAGCCTCAGACATTAGTGCACATTTGAATCCCCCGAGAATGCTATAAAAATGCAGATCCTGGGCTCCTAGGTCTGGTGTGAGTTCTGAGACTGTGCACTTCTAATAAGCTTCTTGGAGATGGCAATGTTGGTCATCTGTGGACCTCACTTTAAGGAGCAAAGTTGATGGCCAGTGTTTCTCATAGTTGGTCAGTAAGACAATTAGCTGGGGGGCTTTTTAAAAATGCTTATTCCCCAGGCCTCAACCCCAAACATTCTGATTTAATTGCTTGGAGAGGAAACTAGATAGCTGTAATATCTGAAACCTCTTAGATGATTTGCATGGGGCCCAAGTTTGAAAAGCACTGCGCAGGACTGTCCCCCTAAATTTGTTGAAGCCCCTAGACTTCAAATTAAAGGTGAGCTAATGCACCCTGTTTATATACAGCCATTTGACCACAGGCAGAAATGAAGTGGTTGTGATATAAGAATGGAAATGGCTCTCGGCAGCATAACTTTAAAGAACTGCAGGTCACCTTCGCACGTGAAGATGCCCAGCCTCTGAGCGCTCAGCCACGCTAGCTAAGAGTTGTGATTATAGCCAGTTAGGCCCTGAAGAAAAAGCCCTGTTACACTCTTTCCAGGTGTCTTGAGGTTATGGGATGCTCTCTTGTCCACATAATTCCTGACATGCCTGCTAAGGTCTGAGGACAGAGTCCTTTTTCTCTGGATATGACAAACCCAGATTCTCACAGGGCAGAAATAAAGCCTTTCCCTTCTATCTGCCAAAATCCATACTAAATCTTATTTGAAGGGGTAAGAGTTTACAACATTTTCCCTCTTTGCACTAGAGATCTTCTGCTGCCTTCTCCTACTAAGTCTGATAAAGATCAAAAATGGAGCTTTTGTTTTATTCATACCTAGCGAGTTTATGCTCTTTGAGTTAAAGACTCATACATTTAGAGAAATATGAACAGACAATTGTTTCCACCTTTGGAACTAGAGCATCAGTCTTTAAGTGCGCAAGGATACTGGACGAAGCAAGCTGGACAAGACTCTACCATCCTGGAACTCATAATCTAACATTCATTGGTGTTAAAGGTTAAAGAGCATTGAATGTCAATTCTTCATTCATTCAATAAGCATTTACTAAGTTCTTCTGCGGGCGACTACAATTTTCACATCTTTTTGTATCATCAGCAAAGGGGGCTTGGAGTAAAATAGGCAGAGACATATCATTATAGTTCATCAAATATTTGTTGTTATGCCTTAAAGAAAAGCTGCATGTGGATGTGAAGCTTGGCTGGAATCCTAACGTCCATGATCACACTCGTTCAATGAGAACAGCATTTTCACATCAGACTCTGATGGCTTTACACTGCCTTTGCACCCACATGTTCCCACAGTGCTCCCCACAAAGTCCAGCACAGAGCTGGGTCTGCAGCAGGTACTCTGAAAGGCTACTGATCAGTTTCACATCTCAAAGACACCAGCACTGACAGGCCCCATAAATACCATTACACTGACCAGCCCCAAAGCATAATCAATCCCAGTAGGAAAAACAAATTAAGCATCTCCAGGCTTTTTTTTCTCCCTTCCTCTTTTCTTTGGGCTTCTCTTTCTCTGTCTCTGTTGTCCTTTCTCATCCCATGTCTAATGTCTCTCTTTTTCTCCTTCTGTCTCCCTCTGGGCTGTAGATCTCCATTTCAAATAACTTTGATCTAATCTTGAATGGAAAGGCTTTTAACCTCATAGGTCACATTAAGAGAAAATCCTGACATTATTATGTAAATATGTTTTATTTTTCTCTGTCGTCTTATACTATTTTAAGCAGGGGGCACTTGCTTTAGCAACTGGTCAAAGTATATGCTGAAATCTCAGGGGTCTGGGCTTGTCTTTACTTGTATCCTCCATAAAATACAGAGAGCCTTTTGCATGCATAACAAGATTCACGAACAAGAGGAAGAAAAGGGAGCGAACACTTACAGAAGGCTGGCTTCTATATCGTGCTGGGCAGATTCACTGAAGAATTACAATTCTGAGAGGTAGGGGAGAGTCTTCTCACGGCAGCATTGTGCTAGGATTGTCATGCTTTCTTTCAATGAATCCTTTTCTCTGTGGAATGGGGAAAAGAATGCATAATTCTCCATTGTTCCATCAGAGAGATTAAAAGTCAAACTTATATCCATTTTTAGAGAAATGCTCAGCACTCAAGAGGTGAGATACAGCTGAGATACAACCACACACACATTGGGAAGCTGTAACATGACAGTCAACATGGAAACTGTCACCTTATTATTTATACTGTGATTAAAAAGGTGGATAATATCAGAATTCTTGAAATTGAAGGTATATAATATAAAATAATAATATACTACTATTCTATTAATAATAATCACTAAAACTAAAGGTGGAAAAATCCAAAAATAATGGGAAATGCAATTATTTTCATGACAATACACTAATAAAATTTAAGTTTTACAGTTTTCATTTGGTTTTTCTTTAACAGAAAGCAAGATTTTGGATAGCCTTTTGAAATAATCTATATCTTTCTAGAATTTTCTGATTTTCCCCAAGCTTTGGCAGTTAACATGCCACTACTTAATTCAATATAGTGTTTTTGGACAATTGTGCTTAGCATGTCTAACACTAAATTCATACTTACAAAAGCTCTCTTTTCATGCTCACAGATCATTAATGTACATAATATTTAATTCAACTGTATGATTATGATAATAATGACAATAAATACAATGGACTCTTGATAGACACACACTTCAAATGGAAAGTGTATATATGTATGAGTCCAGTGAACAACAGTGTACTGGCCACCGATGCTCAGTGGAGCAAGGCCATGGGCCAGGATGCTTATACTGAGAATGGGGAGCAGCAGTTTCCTAAGAGGACGGGATCTCTAACTGACATGTCCAAAGTGAGAGAGGGCCTATTTAATCTCAACGATAAGAAAACAAACAATCTGATTAAAAATGGGCCAAAAACTTTAAACTTTAACAGACATTTCACTGAAGAAGATATACACATGGCAAATAATCATATGAAAGATACTACACGTCATATGTCATCAGGGAAACGCAAATTATAACCACAATGAGATACCACCACACACCTATGAGAATGGCCAAAATCCAGAACACTGACAACACCGAATGCTGGAATGCTGGCAAGGATGCGGAGCAGAAAGAACCCTCATTCATTGCTGGTGGGAATGCAAAATGGTACAGCCCCTTTAGAAGACAGTTTGGCGATATTTTACAAAACTACTCATACATACTCTTACCATATCATCAAGAAATTGTGCTTCTTGGTATTTACCCAAAGGAGCTGAAAATTCATATCCACATAAAACCCTCAAATGGATGTTTACGGCAGCTTTATTCATAACTGAGAAAACTTAGAAAGTACCAAGATGTCCTTCAGTGGGTGAATGGATAATAAACTGTGGTCCAGCCACACGATGGAATACTACTCAGGGCTAAAAAAGAAATGAGCTGTCCAGCCATGGAAAGACATGAAGAAACCTTAAAAGCATTTTACTAAGTGAAAGAAGCCAATCTGAAAAGACCAAATACTGTATAATTCCAAGTTTATGACATTCTGGAAAAGACAAAATATGAAGACAATAAAAAGATCACTGATTGCCAGAAGTTAGAAGGATAAATATAGATAGGCAAAGCACAGAGGACTTTTAGGGCAATGGAAATACTCTGTATGATACCCTAATGATGGATAAATGTCATTATACATTTGTCCAAACCCAGAGAATATACAACGCCAAGAGTGAACCCTAATGTAAACTCTAGACTTTGGATGTTCACGATGTGTCAATGTAGGTTCATGATTGTAACAAATGGCCCACCCCGGTGGGGATGTTGATAACGGGGCAGGCTGTGCGTGTGTGAAGGCAGGAAGCACAGGGGGGAACCTCTGTACTTTCCCTTCAATTGTGCTGTAAATCTAAAACTGCTCTACAAAAGTAAAGTCTTAATAAACAACAAAAACAACAACATTGCTTTGCATACAAAGAAAGCTGAAAGAAAATACCAAAAATTCAAAGAATAGTGGAATTATGAAGAAAAAAAAGTGAGAGAGGTATATTAAACTTTACGGAACATTTTTCTAATTCTCCTATGTAAGTCAAGTTCTATGAACTCCAGAAATTAGAAAGTGTATTGTTCACCCTCACTGACTGTGATGCAATAAAATAAATATAAATACAACAAAATTTTTAAAATGACTGTAAACATTTAGCAATTAAAAAAGCAAACTACAACATAAAAGAAACCATAAATTTACTGACCAAAGCAATTAGGAAAAATGAAAACAGACGGTATCTGCAAAATTAAAGTAAAATAACTGAAAAGCTGTTGGCTAAATAAGATAACTGAATAACATAGCTGTTTGCAAAACACGTGTTTAAAAATCAGATACTGAGTAACTGGACATCCACAGGCAAAAAATGAACCTTGACCTACAGCTCATGTCTTATAATGAGTCAGTTCAACTCAGGTCTCGATGGTGAGTGAGCTTAACGGAATAAAATTTACATTACATGACATTAAAATTTACTTTACATAAAAATGTAGGAGAAAACCTTCAGAATTTGCCAAATTCTTAATTATGTAAAGAAGTCTTAGACTTATGACCAAGAACACAATCCAAAAAAAGGATAATTTGATGCATTGAACCTCATTAAAATAAAAAATTTTGCTGTGTGAAAAACTATGAGAAGATGGAAAGACAAGCTTCAGACTGGGAACAAATATTTGCAGAACCTCAGATCTGAAAAAGAACTCACAACTAGAATATATATTAAAAAATTCTTTAAAGCTCAACAACAGTGTGGCCTGTCAAGATGGAAAACTCTGATAACGCCCGACGTTGGCAGGGCTGTAGAGTAGCAGAAACTTTAAAACTCCTGTAAAAATTTTATTGGTACAAACATTCTTCAAGACTATTTGGAAATACATTAAGATGCCTTAAAAATGCATTCATCAATTTCCCTTGGGAGAATGTGTCTTAAAAAATTAATCGGACAAGTGTAAAACAACACCTGTAAATGGAAATTCATTATGATATTACATTTGAAATAGCAATATAGAAATAAATTGACTGCCTGATAGAAATCATTGGTCAAAATCATTTATTCTCACGCATGCTTATAATGTTATATCATGCAATAATTAAAAACGAAACACTGTCTTGAACAAATTTTATAACGCATGTCTTTGATTTATTTAATGATAATGTATTAACTATATAACAACCTTAAGATTCAGCAAGACATATAAAGAATGATTCTGTCTTTGTGATAAAATGCATGCACACATCTGTTCATATGTGTGCAAATGTGCATATGTGCATAAGTTAAAAGACTGGAAAGAAAAAAGCAACAATTGATTAGTAATGGTGATTTCTGAGCAAGAAAATTTTGGAGTTTTAAGTCTTTTTTCTTTTTGAGGAAGATTAGCCCTGAGCTAACATTTGCCACCAGCCCTCCTCTTTTTGCTGAGGAAGACTGGCCCTGAGCTAGCATCCATGCTCATCTTCCTCTACTTTATATGTGGGATGCCTGCCACAGCATGGCTTGCCAAGCAGTACGTATGTCCACACTCCGGATCTAAACCAGCAGACACTGCGCAGCCTAAGTGGAACGTGAGAACTTAACTTCTACACCACAAGGCCGGCCCCTGGAGTTTTAGCTTTTTATTCACACTTTTCTTTACAACATTTTCTACAATAAAGTCATGTTGTTTTTAGAATCAGAGAAAAATAGCAAAGTAGTATATGTTTTTAAAGGATTCCATATTTATTATATAAAATTCAGAAATCCCTTAAAATGCAGTCCAAGAGAGGGCGATTAGCATTTCACCAACACCCAGCGGTGACTGCCGACATGATTCCATGGTTTTCCTCCGACTCTTCTGCAGCACACAGGTCTTTACGCAGGCGTGATCAGGCTGCTCCCATGGCAGTGTTCCCTTGTTTCGCTCACCACCCAGACCTGAGCGTTTCCCCAGCATTTGTACTGTGCAGAGTGGCCAGCATCACTAACCACCAAACCAGGGATCTAAGTCATAACCATCAATCTTCACCAGTACGAGCATCCGGAGCCCTCTCCCTTTACAGGCATGGATCCCTGCAAACCTCAAACTTAAAACAGAGCCCCGCACATGGCAGCATTTTCACACTAACTGTAGAAAAAGGTCTCTCCTGAACTCTGTATGCGCATATTGTGCATTTGCACGTATTACAGTGGTGAGTGTCCAAGAGTATTTTTGCTCAGGGTTTATCTTCAAAGGGTTAATGGGGCTCACCCGAGGGAGGGCAGCAAGCCTGCTCCTCAAGGGGACCCTGCAAGGTCAGGCCTGACAGACGTCACGTGTGGCCCTGGTATGACCCATGGCCTGAGCGTTGGGCCGGGTTTTCAGCTTTTATTGGTTCTGTACAGTTGGGTTTCAGGAAATGTCCCTTTTCATCTTGTTACAACTGTTCTCCTGTTTCAAATCAGCTCTGAAAGCAGAAGCTGCTCTTCCTGCCTCTGCAGATGCAAGAAGCCCGCAGGTTAGAGAGGGGCCAGCCATCCAGGCCGTCTCACCACGGGAGCACACCCTGGGAGTTCTAGAAAACTCCCAGTAGAGAAAGAGAGTGTTTCAATGGCGGAGCAAGAATCCTACAAGCAGAAAGGCAAGCACACCAGCTGTGCATGTCTTCTTTTGTTTGAAAGCAGGGTCTACATTAGGAATGTTTTTATGTTAACAGGCTTGAAAGTTAACTTTCCTTTAAAATTTCCTCCAAAGACCCCTACCCTTGCGAATGACCTGAGAAAAGGAGATATTAGTCGGAAACCCCGGCAGGAACAGAGGAGATGAAAAAACGAACAAACACTGAGCTGGGGACAGTGCATCTGAATCCAGCCTGCGCAGGGCCAGCATTCCACCCCGGCCTTGAGGCACTTCTCTCGGCTTCAGTTTCTCACTGGGTAAAATAAGTTCTAAAGTCTGTTACTGCAAAGGTAGCGACAGTGAGGACTGCCAGTGACATACGTAGCTGCCAGAGCATGCTGATCTTTCTCAAGTCAGTTAAGTGAAGGCTAG